AATATCTGTACACCTGTAAAGAGAGGCAAATAAATCATACAAAGCTAACACTCACTTACTGCAGCATGAAGGTGACCCACAGTGCACAAGACATCATTATTGACTGTGAGACCTGTACAGTATGTGCGTGAGGAGAAAAGAAAGACTTCTTGAGGACTTGGTATAAACAAGGACACACAAAGAGTAAAGTGTGAAATGTCTAAAGACGAAAGTAAATCTTAATAATACAAACAGAATGCACACTCGAAAACCGGTGCACATCTGTTGAGCGCTGATGGCAGGATTATTTTCACAGCCGGTGTTTGTGTGCGCGTGTGTTTAGTCAAAAAAAAAAAAAACACAACGACAACAACAAAATGCATACTCCAACAGACGCGCTTTTGATTCAAATTAATTCCAATATTGATGCACAAAGTGAATGAAAAGAGAAATGACAATGCCCACCTGTTTGACGTCATAAGCAAAGAGCGCATATTGAAGGTCTGCTGAGAGTGAGTACTTGGCCACCTTGAACGCCACCTGATGAATAAAACAAAGCTTTAGCAAATGCAAAAGAAGGATCTACATGTACCGTGGACACATATCTTCGAAAGAGAAAAGGAAAATATGAACACCCAAACAGGGAAAGCAACTTACAAATGTTGTGTTGCTGAGCAGGACTTGGGTCTCGTTGCGGGTGAAATCGAATTTCACAACATGGTTATCTCGGTTCCTGTACACCACCTCAGAATCTGAGACCAGAAAAGAGTATTGTGTGATTTCTGTCGAACAACATTCAACGTGCATTTATTGCTGCATGGCTTTTAAGGCATCATGTGTTTTACCCAGTGATTGGTGTTTTGTCAGTCCTGACTGGAGGTCGGTCAGTCCGTCATTGAATGCAGAATATGGAATACAGCAGCTTTGCTTGAGTGGGCTGCATTGACTACACAGTACATGGAAATGTTTTGTGTCTCCTGTACAGTAGGTGGCAGTATGAACAAAAGATCTGTAATCCACCCATAAACTAAGAGAAGAAGGAGAAGGAGGAAAAAGAAGGAGGATTTATCGTATTCAAAGGTATGTGGGCAATGCTGGATGATGTTGAGTCTGAGGAAAGCTAGTTCTCCCTGCAGGGAAACTCGTGCTTTTTGACTCGATGTACTCGACTCTGCCAGATCCCAATATTTATTCTCAATTTTGAAATTCCACTTCAGAGACTGACAACTCTTAATACAGACAGACTTATGATGAAAAGTCCAGGTGAAAGCTGTGCAACACTCAGCCTCCAGCTAGCCCTTCACTGGATTTTCTCTGTCAAATTTTGATCCACATCCAAATCCCACTGCCAGAAAAACAAAGGACAACAGGGACTGTTTTTTGGAGAGACAGCTAGTCTGCTTCCAGCGTACTGCCGATGTATCTATGAGCAAGTCTCCGAACCACTTAATGGTGCAACATGCTGATCTCACTGAGATGGTGTGTTTATCGAGAGACACAGTATATTCGGAATCATATTTGAATAATGCACATTCCAGGCCATCTGAAGGTAGCCTTGAAGTTTTGGGTGCACATCAGTCTTTCACCGAAGGCTCAACTGATTTGTGTTTCTGATGTCGTTTATGTCTGTTCCATCCATTTTCGAAACCGCGTGTCCTCTTCACACATCACAGGTGAGCTGGAGCCTATCCCAGCTGATTTGGAGGCAGGGTACACCCTTGACTGTTCATTGGCCAACCACAGGGCACCCAACTATCTACTTTTAGGTGGAATGTGCTCTGTGCAGTGCAAAATAAAATTTTGCTCTGGTTAGTGATGCAGAGACATTACAACCTGTTGGCATTCAACCGTTGATTGGCATGCACAGGCTTCAGTGAGCAAACCGTCACATCTTAATTGCTCTGAAGGGGCCCGGACAGGATTTGTATAGCTGGGGGAGGGGTGGGGCGGTGGTGCAAAGGTTATCTTTTCTTTTTTTGGAAGTGCTATTCTTCTTCTTGTGCTCATGTTCGATCAGTCTACACAGCTTGAAAAGTTAACTTGGAAGCAAATGACATAACAGTTGAAATGGTGAAAATGTGTTTGCCACACCATCCTGCATTGTAACTCAGCGTGTCATCCATCTCAATCACCAACTAAAAGGACTACAATCTTCAACGGACGAAAAAATGTAAATATTGTCTTTCTGCAACACAAATTAGCAGAGCATCTGCCACTGTGTTTCTAAACCTTCAGCAAGGACATGTCGTATTGATCTTTTCTCTGGATAGATCGTCAATAAGATGATAAAACACCTGCATTTTTTTGTGTAAACAAAACTTTCATTTGGATGTTCATGTTGATGATAGTGTATTCTCTCATCTCATGCAATGGACTTTACTGTACACATGGTGTTGCATAGTGGCTTAAAATGCTCATCTATCGATGCACAGTACAGAGACGGTTGTTCGGGAGTGGGACTATAAGAGGCCTCATTGGAAGCACGTCATTTGCAATCATACAGATCCATTGTCAATCGCTTGACTGATTGTAATGCAATCGACAAATATTTTGCTCATGAAATATTTTGCCGTAGATCTAATGGCTAGAGATGGCAAAGCTGCACTCAACCTGTGAGCTTCTGCAGAGAAGAGATTACTTTCGTTAATTTCAGCATGAGATGACTACAATCTTTCTTGTGTGGTGTGAACTAAGAGCAGCAGCCATGACGAATGCCTTTAATTAAAACAATCAGTCACCTGCAGAGACGAAGGCAAAGCCTCCAGCAAGTGAATGTGTGTCAATGAAGATTTGTACATTTCAGCACTACAATTATCAGTGCTTCTCACTGCAGAGTATTCAGGTCATTGTCACAAATATATTAGAAACAATGACAAAGAATCTGTTTTTCCTCACATCACAAACCTAAAAATAAACAAAGATCATTTAAAGAAAAAAAAATCTCTCAAACCAATGCCATTTGCTTTTTATGGCAAAGGCCAACTGGCATGAGCAGGTGTGCCTAATGTTGTGGCCTCACCCACACCCTTTATTTCGACCTCCATGTCTTTCTGGAGACGCAGATTTTATCTTCTTGTTCGCAGGTTTTGCTCCCATGTGGGGTGATGGTATTTTCATTCCGAGAAAAACTGATTCAACTTTATACTTTACAGCAGGTGACAGAAATGAGGCTGGCTTTTAGAATGATTTTTCCACTTTGTACTCATGCTTTGCAATTATATAGGATCATGGGGAGATAGAAAAAAAACCCAACTACAAATGCAAAAGTAGTGAGTCACTATGGTAAGGTACAGACTTAAAGATAACCGGACTGTTTTTGTCACACTTTTACCCCTTGCCGACCAAGAACAATGACAAGAATCTTATTTCTTGTAAGATCGTCCTTGAAAACATATATATCCTTATGTCTGAGATGTGTGAAGATTGGATTTACAATCCAATAAGAATACAATCCAAAACAAGTCAATATGAAACGTGTTCAAGATTTCCAACCTCATATAAGTAGTACAAGCCGACTATTCATGAGTTTGACTCTGTGGACTGTGCCATGAATGGAATGTCGCCAATCAAAGAAGCACCCTGAGTGGCCAACAAGGACGGAGCGGTAAACAAAATAAATGTTCCGAACATGACCACGGGTCTATTAATCCCGAATGACCGCGAGAGCGTTCTGTCACTCGGACTCTTCGTGTTCACGCCAGAAGATTCTGATCCAGAATTTATACCCATCCCAGGTCATTCGGGTGTCACATGCTTTCAGCGCCACATCTGGTAATGAGTCGGGAAGAACTTGAACAAAATATATCCTAGCCCTTTTTTTGTATAAAAGTGGGTTTCCCCAAATGACAGGAAGTGTTTTCACAATCTTTTTTTTTTTTTTTGCTAAGATCTTACAACGCTCCCGCCTCCGGTCCTCTCGGCAATCGCTCTGCAACCTTTGTGTTTGTGAAATCATATGTGATCAGGCGAGAGCTCTGCTTCAGGGAACTGGACTCTGGACAGATTGTGGAGCAGAATCTTTATGTGTGTGGTGTTCTGTGTTGAGATTAGCGGAGGACACAACACACACACACACACACACGCACACACACACACACACACACACACACACACACACACACACACACAACACGACTGAAACTACAAAATGCCTGATTTTTATATGTGAGGGTGTCTGTCACAGATAGAAAACCATTTAAGACTGGTCCACGCCTAAAGTATCTGAAATAGTCTCATTTGCAGGCAGGCTTGTAGGATTAGTGAACAATTCCCGAATGGCACGTAACGTGTAGATTTTTCTCTTGAGTCCTCACCGCTTATCCATGTGACTTCTGGGTCGTGCACAGTGAACTCTGAAGAGTACAGATCGTCTACAGTCAGTGGAGACTTGACGCTAGCCGGGTGATCAGCTGTGGAAAGAGAGAAAAATGACAGGACAAACTGACAAAATTCCAGGAAATGTAAAAGTTGGAAAGTTTCCATGAGAATAAAACAGGAATTTCCTTCTCACTATTCTATGTGAATAGTAGGGAGGGAAGGGGGGAGAGCGGGCCGTGATGACAAAAACGGAATTCACGTTTCATCATCACATGGCTTACTAGTTTTGAAATTCGTCAATTTATTTGTTTGTTGTTTGTTCAATTATTGTTCAAGTGAGTGTAAACAGGGTAGCAAAATTATTACAAAACCTCATTATTTATTACACATGACAATTTGGCATTTCAGTACAGATTTTAGTAAGCATCATGGAAGTTGACACCCCAGATTTGAATTAGTGAGCCACATAAAATGACATGGCGGGCCCAACCTGGCCCCCAGGCCTTGAGTTTGACATCTCTGCGATAGATCAACATATCTAATATTCAAATTTGACTTTCTCTTTTAAAACATATCAGTTGATGTTACTTGGCTTTGGGATTATCGTCCACTGTGATTCATGACATTTCGGGTGTGTATCGGTTTTACCAGGTGTGAGGACGACCACAGACATGGTGATGAGCGAGCAGACGGCCACGATCACCAGCAGAGAGATGGCGATGCCCTTCCAGTTCCTCTGCGGGGTGCTGATATCCACAAACTCCTGTTGAGTTGAACAAAATTGCAGAGGCTAAGCTTAAGCCTGTTGAATTGACTTTTGCTTTTCATGTGACTTTGTTGGGAGGGAGGGCTTTTGGTTGGATAGGTGAGGGGGTTGAGATGTATTTAACGTCACCATTTTTTTTCTTCAATGAAAGAACTGATTGCTCATAAAGTATTTTAAAAAGAATATTAAAATCTTGCAAGAAGTTTACTTACAAAAAAAAATCTTTTGAAATGTCATGCTTTTTAACTGTGTTATTTTTGCGTGGGGGAGCTGTGATGACAAAATGAAATGTTGATGTTGATACAGTATTCATATTTATTATTTGCCCAGCTTCCAATAAAAAGAATTTTAAAACATACCATACATTTTCCAGAATTTTTAACACAAATTTTCCACACTTTTGAAAACAATAGTCTTAAGCAGACAGGATTAGATAAAGAAAAACAACATGTTACTGACTCATTTTACTTTGCAAAAATAAAGTGTTCTAGTCCTGCAACATTGGACTTTTTCTGCATTAAAACAAAATTCTCATATGTAATAAATAAGAGATATTGTAAGCATTTTCTTGTTACCAAACCCCTCATTACAGTAACCTAATAAGAGTTGGCTAACCATTATTCTTGACGTCTTTATATGGTTTCACAGTCATAACAGCCCTCCGAGGGAAACAATAAGTATAATGTGGCCCACGGCAAAAATGTCTTTGACACCTCTGTTATATACAATGTCATGGGGGCATGGATATCTGTGGTTTGATATATTTTATATGAAAATCATGAAAATTACACTGTGTGCAGTAAACTAATTCATTTGGAAAGTAACCCTAAACTCTTCCCTCTTTCAGCATCTGTTTTTTTTTTTTTAATTCTAAGGTTCATATCCACACAGTCTCAGGGCTAAATATTGATCCAGAACAGCTTCAGTGTATACAATTTTTGCAGCACTCGTAGAAGAATATAAAAGAATGACATATTTTCAATACGATTTTTTTTTTTTTTTTATCTTTTCACATTTGTGTATGTTGCATCACTTTGAGATAAGTTATGAAATTGCAAATGAAATGATCATGATTTTTTTTAGGTATTTTTATGGCTGAAAAACATCAAGATGCTCAAGTTTGAGCCGAATACAACAGAAGGGTTGAGCACCGTTATCAATCACAGTCATGATGCATACGGGCATTTGTGTGTCCATCGGTATCACACGTCCAGCCCGCGAGGTGGAAAGTAGAGCATTTAATTAATGAGGCAGACCCACACAGCAGAGTGTTCCTCACACACCACTGAGCCGTGGGCCGCTCCCTGACTATTAGTTCAACTTCTCTGGTCTGGTTCTCAATTGTGCGCGCTGTGTGAAAGTCTTCGGAGACACACTTCGCTTGCTGTTACTCGCACTCACTTAAGCTGACTGCAAAGCGAGGGAAGACTTCAAGTGTGTGGAAGAGTCGGCCAGCCGAAAAAGAAGAAGTCCTGATGTAAGCTTTCCCTGTATTCATTTTCAATTTTCGATATCGGCTGAGGTAATGCAAGAAGCGAGGTACACCCTGGATGAATCGAGCCGTCAGTCGCAGGGCACATGTTGACAAAGAAGCATGCAAATCTGGATCATTTAAAGCAGTGGTTGTAAAACACTTTTTAAATCAAGTACCACCTCCCCAAAAAATAATTGACTCCACCATCATGATCAACATTTAAATACACCTGTAGTCCTACGGGTTCATAAAAAAACGAGACAGTTTGTTGTTTGAATGGTGCAGCGGTCCATTGCAAACCTGAAACCCACGTTTGTGAGGGATTTATTGCAAGTTGAGCCTCACAGAACAAAGTTGTAAAATTCTGTGAAAATTCAAAGTTGGAAAATTTCCATATGAATGAATTGTCTTTCTTCTTGTTTGTTTGTTTGTTTGTTTGTTTGTTTATTGAACATATATAAAACATACAAGAACATGACAAAATGCAAACAAAAATTATGAAAGGAAAATAAAAGTAAAAGTAAGTAATACAAACATCATCACAGTTATATGTTCTGGGGAGATCGGGGCGATAGTCATGTGACCAGTGGATGTGCTGACTGCCTTCACCTATTACAGGGTAAGAGAATGACTTGGCAAGTCTCCGTTTTTTGTTGTTGTTTTTTTTTAACTCAGATTGTTCACCTCAAAGAAATTGCTCTAAAAAACATTAAAAGGTATTTCATAATAATAATAATAATCCACTTAATACAGTAACAATTAAGGGTTAGGTTTCGCAACAGGTGAATTCATTTTTGGGAAATTTGACAGCTATAAATTACAACACCTAGTAAAATCTGTATTGCGAAACTTGTCTAACCTAATCGGTCTAACCTGAAAACAAAAAATGAAAATATGCCACAGCAGCCACAGTACAGGAGGCTGCAATTTCTACCCAGCAGTCCCATAATTATTTTAAGCGACAGTAACATTCTGCTCTGTTTGAACATTAACACAGTGCTTAAATATAGCAACACTGAAACAACTACTTTGAAATAATGAGTCACTAAACTGAAACTTGTTCCTAAAAATGTTCAAAAATCAATTCTCAAAGGTTAAATGCAAATTTAAAAGGTAAATACAACTGAACTGTTCCAAGGAAACGATTCTTTGAGAATCATTGCTTTTGATTCTTTTGGGAGCCTGGATGTAAGGTTGCCACCCATCCCATAAAATACGGAATCGTCCTTTATTTGACCATTATATGTTGCGTACCGTACTTGGTTTGTTCCGTATTTTCCTAATTGTCCAATGCGTCTGTCACACACAAACGTGAAACTGAATTTAACAATAATGAACAAAATAAAAGACAGGAAATTTAAAGACAGCTACGTCGTGTTGGTGGGAGGTACGCAGGACCTCCTGCGGACCCGCGAGCGTAGCATATGTCTGGTGCGTTCTCCTCTGATTTGTGCCAAATCCTCGGTCTGTCTGCCTGCATGCAGGCAGCCCAGTGTGTCATGATCATTGCCTGGTAATGCGCTAGTTATCATTGTTATAGTTATCTTTATTATTGTAAAAGTGCCCCCAGATAGGCTTTGTTACAGCTATTACAGCACTCTACAGTCTATGCATGTAATACAGTATACTCAAATTCAGCTCAGTTCAGTCTATTCAGCCCTGAACATGTATACACACAAATTTACAAGTGTTTCATTTTTTTCCTTCCTCTGAAGGTAAAGGTGTCCCCAGTTGTTACATTTACAGCACTTTATTGGATAATTTAAGTATCATCCAGTTCCAGTAAAAGTGTCCCCAGACAGGCTTTATTTAATTTACAGCACTTTATATGTATACAATACAGTAGGCCAGGTCTATATGCTCAAGATCAGGCTATTAAGTGTTCATTGCTAATAAAACATTTATTAACAACACTTTAAGTATGTCTAAGTCAGGGGTGTCAAACTCATTTCACATGGTGGGCCACATACGGCCTGGGTAGATGTCAAGTGGGCCGGACCATTAAAATGATACCATACTTTGCTATAAATAACCAAAACAATATGTCTTTCCTTTGTTTTGGTATAAAGAAGCACAAGAACATTAGGAAAATGTTGAAATTAAATGAACATATCTTTTACAAAACATTTCGTGAAGCACCTTACATTTCCTTCGACAAATGTGCAATTTACTTTTATCATTCACATATATGCATTGCAACTGATCCCACTGATTGTACAAACTTTAACAAGTAATTGGTATTGAAAAATATAGTCATGCACTTTAAGATTAAACAAGATTCATAAAGAAAGCAAGTTTTAAAGCATTTACACGTGCATATAAAATCTAAATGTAATCCCTGCCTACACCTTACAAACTAAGGAGCGTGCTATTAAAAGTGTAAATGTGAGAGTGCTATTGATAGCGTCTGCTGTCATGGGTCTGTCTCAGTGATGGACTGAGGCTGCTGTTGTCTTCTTCTCTGATCAAAACAGTGTCCCCTAGCGGATACTCAATGAATTGCACCTTATTAAAAATATTTATTCTGTGTCTTTTATGCATTTTCTTCACTTTTAAATTATCCTGTGCGGCCTGATTGAACGGTCCGCGGACCGTATGTTTAACACCACTGCTTTACATAATCATCTCGCGGGCCGGATTAAAGTCCTTTGCGGGCCGGAATACGGCCCGCGGACCGTACGTTTGACACCCCTGGTCTAAGTGCTTTCCTGACTTCTCCTTCCCAACTGACCACCAAGCGACTCCAGGGCTCAGAGACTAAGATGACATGTTCAATAATAACAAGTAAATCAAAGTATTTTGTGTTTTCACATAAAAAAATATATGTGATTCTATGCATCTCAGGATTTTGGGGAGCCAAACTCTCAAATTTATTTCGTCTGCGTTGTTTTGCCGCAACGGCGTGAGGAGTGTCACTTATTTCCAGATCTGAAAGGTGTCAACCCTACCTGGGAGTGAGCCGAAATACCCGAAAAAAAACATGCAAAATGTGTTGCCCTGATTTAAGATACAATTATTGGACAATTGAATTAGCCAAGAAAATTTGTGGGAGTCTGCACATTGGATGGAGCCCACAACCACTCTGGATTTTTTCTTGAAAAAGGTTCTCAAAGAGATCATTTTTGGTACCGGTCAAAAATTATCACACATTTCAGTCTTTGCAAAGTGCCTATGACAATCACTATCGTCATTTTCAACAGGTCACTGTCTGAGACAACACAAATAAGTTGACATTATTTACTTGTTTTGCTGCCAGTGCACATGGATCGCTATTCCAATTTCCCACCTTCTGGATCAAAGCGCATTACAGTGATGCTTTTGTGCATCCAGCTCCTCCTGTTCATGACCTAATGTGCGTTTATGTAACACGTCATACAGTGAGCGATTACACATTTTCAGTTGTCGCACCTGCTCACATGAAACAACAGGAGGCAATCATCCAAATGCGAGCTCGGGAAGATACGTCACAACTCCGTGCAAGAGAAGAGGACGTTCACACAATCAGCATCCAACACATGTTTAA